CACATTGAATTCCACATGACAATAATATTTTGTTAGTGCTAACTGATTAACAAAAAAGCAATAAAAGTTATTATGAAGATACTTTTCTTGATCACTTTTGTCATTAACTGTTTGTCGAGCACAAAATTTTATCAGGTATATTTATTCCCTTAACAAATTACTGTGATCTCCCTGGTTTTGACCGAATCTCCCTGTTTTTCTTTAGGAAAAATCTAAAATCTCCAGGTTTTGAAAATTTAAGGTTGACAGGTCTGAACATAAGAGGCATTTGATACGAACACAAGCCAAAGCCATTGCTCATAGAATGGGCGTGAAGGAATATCCAATGATGTAACTAGAGCGATGTTTGGGTGTAGACACACCTCTTCAATGAGACAGTCAATTTGACACATACTTACATTTTAAACTTGGGGTGGACTTGCACGGATCTACTAACTTTGCCTCGTGATATTTGAATCTTAGCAATAGGTGAAGCAAGCAAGCATGTAGCTGAGTAATCAAAAAGCTTGCGATGAAAAAGGAAAAACTTTCATTCAAAATCTTCCCCGTCAACAGAGAAGGGCAGTGTCGTCGCGTGACCATTATCGCTGGGGGGGGGGAGGGGGGAGTGTAAGAGATGCAAACCATATTTTGCCAACAGAAATTCTTTTGTTACATTGATATTTTGTTAAAATTTTAATTCTACCGACGAGCACGCCACGCCCCTGGAGAAGGGTTCTATGACTCTGCTGGGTAAGGCTTGGGATCATGATTATTCTGGCAAAAACATGATCTTTCAGTAGATAGCAAATACACAACATTCCGATCCTTACCTCTCTGCACAGTGGCCAAATTAGCAAAGAATGTATTGCCTGCTTCAGTCCAAACCTCAATTCAAGAATTTAATTCCCTTTTTGTTACCGATAACATCTAAAGACGTGATCTTTTTAAGATAATTTATGTGGTTCGTTGATTGGAAAGCTCTCATCAAACCGCACTATGTGTTAAAAACACGACTAGAAAGAGTTTGAAAACAAAAACTCTAAGAACAAATCACAATTTTACCATGAGAGAACGTCTTGGTAGAATTCAAGAAAAGTTGTGAATCTTTGAGAATGAAATCCAAGCAGCTACACCATCAAAATTTTCAAGCTCTTAGGTGGGTCGGGAGGGGGAACTTGATTGAAACACCCTGCCATTTTTAGGCAGAATCCAAACCCCAGTGAACGTAGTTTAAACCTCCTTTGCAGAAAGGTCTTAGAAATTCATACATTCTTTACACCGTGATCCTGTCCCTAATCTTCTGAGTTCCAGCTACCTAAATCCAAATTCCCAGTGCCGAAATGATTCGATCGTATTCTGCCACCTCAAGAACTTCTTTCAGGTTGTCATAAGATTTAAATATGGAAGGCAGAGATCCACAAATGAAGCCTTGGTATTTCTGCTTTTGAAATTCTGTCATGAAGCGGACTATTTTCTGGCTCTGGAAAAATATTTGAGATGTTGTTATATATTTTAGATCTACTCATATTCTTTGTTATGGCAGTAGACTTAAAGGGGCTTAAGTCACTGCCAATTAAAGGTTGGCCTCGACAGAGGGCTGATGCTTAATGGGTCACGAGGCTACTGTTGCCAAAAGACAATAGAACGAACTAAATAACGGAGCATTCGAGCGTGCAGTAAGCTAGTTAAAGAACCCGGTATCTGGGTAGATGGCTCTAATCCACCAAGGGCAACATACATACATTGTGGTGTAGGTGTGCAGTGAGATAGAGACGAGATCTACGGTATGAAACTAAGTTTCCTTTCTTGTTACAATTTTGAATTTATCGTCAACAGTTTGCTTAAGGGTTCAAATGTTTTTAATGCTTCTGATACTTGCTAGAGCACCGAAGTAAAACCAAGTTTTCGTTTCCTTAGAGTGTTTTTGGCAGAGGATAAAACCAGTAGTGTAGCGTGACTTTTTCAACTGGGTATTCTCTATTAAACAAAAGGGTGGGGCAGGGTGTGGCTCGATGGGGTTTGATGAAATAGGGGGATAATAGGAAGATTAAAAGGACTAGCAATTGATATTTTATCCAATTTTCTTTTTGGTTCGGTTGGCAAGTACTGCACTTTCAGGACGTTACTGTGATGAAAACGATACTTTGCTAAAGAGCCCAACGCAAATACACTTTTCAAACTCATTCATTGCATCAAATTACCACTAACCATTTCATCAAAAGTAATTCAAATCAAAACATACCATTGATAGTCAGTAAAAATATACTTGTCGAAATATGTCACAATAGTTGTTGTCACATTAATCACAATTATCTGAGTCAGTGTAGCATTATGTTTGAAGTCACCTTTCCTTTCCACTTTGCTGTTAGTAGATTAAGATTAGGGGTCTAATGAGAGAATGATTATGAAACAGTAATACGGACATTGCAATAGTTTTTGAATGAAGTCATGTTTACTGTTTTCGATGAAGCTCCATCACTCCAATCGCTCCAACCTCCATTAACTGTATATATCGATCTCAAAACGAAGCTATTTTGAACCGACTTTGTTTTAGCTGATTAACAGTAAACATTATTCATGGAAAGGAGCGTTTTGATTGGTTAAAGTACCGTCAAGGTGGTATTCACTGCGTATCCATGACCGATCTCCATTCAACATGAAGTAGTTAATCCCCTTTTAAAGGCATGATTCATTTGTGTTTAGTTCCAGCAATAACAGGACAACTTGTCAAGGAAGTGTCCCTGATCTCAGGGTTGCCAGATGGGATTTACAAAAGAAAGCCAGACGGGTAACCAACTCGGGCCAAACTGCGCATAAAAAGGGCAAAACAAACATTTTCCAAAAATACACAGCAAAATGGTAACATGAATTTCCACGCATGCGCCTTTTAAATAACATTCCAAACTAAAACAAGTACTGAGAGTTTTTTCTTTAAAAAAGTTCTTTTGCTAATTGTGGGGGATTCTACAGCGCGCATAGCAACCATTTAGTTATGTTATATTCTTAGATATATTGCTTTTTAAAGACAACATGATTTTCTCTATTAATTATATATTGCTTTATTCACTTGAGGACTCGAAGTAGCTTAATTTGTTTTGTTATGATATTATATTTACGTACTTGTCTCCTGTTAATGTGTACGTGAACAAGGTAAAGGAAACTGATATTCGTGATGTATTAAAAACCTACGTACGACCTTTGTATCGGTATAAGCAAATATAGGTTCACTGATTTGACATGTTGATTAGCTGAGTAATGTAAATTGAGTTTATAAAAGTACAGTAGGGCAGTGTTAGCGTAAAATGTGTTGAGGAAAGACGTGTAGATAAATTGAGATATGATGAGACAAGGCGTACGTTTGAGTTTTATTTGAAGAGATTTCTTGGTTCGTGGAGAAGTATATATGTTTCGAGCCAGCGTAATTGAGATAGATTGCGATCTATAACACTAATGGTTAGGTTAGGTGGTAGTATTTGACATCTGGTTTTGCACAGTGCAGCAGTGCTTTTTCAATGTAAGATTTGCTTGTTTCATAAGGTGTTAAAGTTTATATAAAACAAAGAAATGGCTTCCAGATTGCTGCTGAAAAACGCCCAAAGGCCAAATTTTTGTAGTAGGCCAAAAACAAATTTGCAAGGCAATTTAACTCCGAAAAAGGCCAAAAATTGAAAAACTTGGTCTGGAAAAGTCCAATCTGGCAACCCTTTCTGGTAACTGTGGTAAAACTGCATTGTGTGGTTTTTACCGCTGGATTTTTAGGTTTTTGCTCTGCCGTGGCTAAGCACACTTGAAAACCGTAACCAAGACTACCGGATGAAACCAAAGGGTATGAGACGGTTTCAGAAACTGAGATTATTTTAATCAATAAAAATCGGCTTTAGATATTGTGACAGAACAATGCCTTCGACGAAAGAACATATCATAATAATCACCTTTGTGTTATGTATAAAAGTTTGAAAATTATTGATTACGTTAGACTCATGATGAAGTATTTCTTATAAGGTCGTAAAGATACAATTTTCTTAGGCTGTTGCAATCTTTGCATCAACTTTTTGATACACTAGATCTGTTTTCCTCGATTAATTCTGTTCAAAACGTTGGCAAAGATCAAATTCAACTTGATAGAAGAGAAATAAACTGCATTTTGCGCTGAAGATTTCATCGATAACAAAGCGGCTATATTTCGAGGTGGCAAAATTACTGTAAAGAAGCAAGCGGCACATTAACTGGAGGAAAAGTGACCAGGTATTCAACAGGTAACAACAAGCTCATTTACGATGAAATTCCAAATATTCCAAATATTCCACAGTCTTATTCCAAATAGAAACCTACAAGACATCAGTATTCTCAAAAGATATTCAGCCGAGAAGGCTGCTAATTACAAGGTTGTCTACAAGGTTGTCTAGTTTAGAATTTTGTAGGAGAAAGATGCCAGATTATTTCAGGCAATGGTTTTTGAGGATCAGCTCCCTTACATTTCCTTATAGGAGAAATTAGAGTCTGCGCGCAGGCTATAAATTTCCGTTCACCTTTTGATCCTGATAGGACATTTTATACTTTCAAGGCGTGTCAGATAAAACAGTGGTGTTTTAGCTGTTTCTTGTGACTTTTGAGGCTGATGCAATTATAGGGGATCACCGGCCTACAGTAGCCTAAAAGCAAGCCTGCCAGTAGCTCTTCTCACACATGTAGCCAAACTGTAGTTTAGTCTCTAAGTACTACTTTATTTATTTCCCCTGTTCTAGTAAGTTGCCCTACCAGGGTAGCGATAGACACATAGAATTTGAGATGGAGAGGGGTTTCACAAGCGGTGAAGTTAAACATAATGACAGTGAGTTCCGTTGCTGCTTAAAAGCAGCACAGATTTTAGAATCAAGCTGTTGGGTTTCTTACATACAAGATAATACATTTAAATTGACGTTTTTTAATTCAAGGGTCATGCTGAATAGTAAACAAGGATACCCAAAGAAATCAATATAGATGGATTAAGTATGAACTGTCTGTAATTGAAGTTTGATTGTTTTTTTTTAAATTTTGGTCCATTTACAAGCGATTTAAAAAATCAGGATGCCTAGATTCTTATAAAAAAAACATTATCTAAGCTTGCAGGCTGCAGCTTCTTACTGTCAACCCCTGAATCAGCGTTTTGTGGGCTTATCATTAATTATGAAACTTTTTAGTTTGGGCCTATATGCAGAAATAATATTCATATTGCTATTATCATCTTCTCTGCTCGGCTCTCGGTCAATGTCTCGTTTAATTTTGCTTTTTATCATTGCCGCTGAACGCTGAATGTTTTATCGGTGGGGACTCATTAAGGGGGGGGGGGCTTATTAAAAATTTTACATCAAGGGTGGAGCTTAGTCGACTGTGGCTCATACGAGAGGGCCAATTAAAGAAATTACTGTAAATGTCCATTTCTTTATGGCCAGGACTAACTGCCACTTTTCATCAGAACCTATCGGTATTGTGTTGCCACTTCGCTAAACAGACCTGCAGTCAGTGGCAACCCACTACACTCTTTTTTTTATAAGAACCAGTAAATTTAAGTTCAGGCTGACTGTTCTTAATTTTTTCGAAAATCTGAGGCTGGATTGTTCTTAATTTGTTCTTGAATTAAGAGGGTGTAAGCGGTGCTATTGCTAGCTTTTTCGCTCTAAGGAGGTGTTCAGTCCTCATTTGCCAACAAATTGAGTGAGACAGCCTTAATTTGCTGATAAATTTGAATATTCACCGAAAAAGCACTCACACATCGCTAAAAATCCTCAATTTTGAGAAAAAACGTTGTTCAAAATTGCATTTTGCAGAAACTCAGCCTCAGCTTGTTCTTAATTTGTTCTTATTTTTCGACCAGTTTTGAGGCTCGTGTTCTTATAAAATTGTTCTTATAAAAAAAGAGTGTAATATGCCTTATATTTTTTATTAGTGAGCAATTTGCTAACAGTCGTTTTGAGAAGGAGAAAAGTTGGATGATTTCATACACAAGGCAGAGAACCATTAACACAGATCAAAGTGACTTTGGTGTGGTCATAGGTGTGACTGTGGGTGTGGTGTTGGGCGTGGCTTCTAGAACTTGTCTAAAACACAGTCCGAATATTAACTTTTTAGAGCGACACCACTAACTGCAATTGGTTAATTTGAGCTTTTTTCACTAAAACATAAATTCGTGACTCAAAGGACGATCTTTATTGGGTCGGGTTACGCACAGGTTGGCATACCTAAACTAAAATGTTGAAATATTTCAACTGACAAATATTTCAATCATTATTTAAACTGATGTTTAAACTATCATTTCAACTTATATTTCGACTCCTATGTCACTCCTTAAAATGCAATTTATTCGGGGGAGCATGCCATCGGACCCGCCTACTTGTGTACTGTAAAAAACAATGCCAATAGTTCTTCTTTGTAATTCGTATTTCACTTTGCGGTATGAAATAATACTTCAAAAACTTGTGGCGTCTGTTTCACTTGAGTTGTTCTTTTACAGTTTTGTGATCAGATCAGAAACAGCTTTGTGATGGTGAGTTTGTAAAAGAAACCGGATGTGATGTGATAAATGTTTAATTTTGTGTATCTCCTCAGGCTAATCCAGCCCGCAGTTCAACCACTCCAAGCAGTGGCATAAACCTTGAAAATGGAAAAGGAACCTTTGCGAGCCGAAGCACAATCTACTTATTCAGCTGATGAAAAAGCAAGCAATGACGGTAGTGGGATCGGAGTCGCATTTTCAGGCGGAGGTATCCGTTCTGCAGCATTCTCCTCTGGCGTTCTCCGGCGTATTCTACAGAAGAAGGTACAGGTGGCATATCTAAGCTGCGTCTCCGGTGGTGGATATACAGGCAGTGCATACGTGGAATGGAAGTATCGTAATGGTGGTTTAGACAATCCTCAATGGCACGAAAAGTTCTTCAACCATATGCGAAGAAACACGAGCTCACAGTGCAACTGGAGGAACCCAATACAAGGACTTTTCGACTCTATCTTTGTGGTAGTGATGCTGATTTTCGTTGTGTTTCTTATCCCTGCTTTGATATGGATGCCACTAACATTTCCACTCGCTTACTTGGTTGATTATTTGCTTGGGCCCCTTATGCGCTCAGGTTTTATCTGTGAAGGGCAAGCTGGCTTTAATACGACTTTAGCTAACCAGACCGTTGTTCATATAGTTCCCAATGATCAATTAATCTGCTATGCTTTAAAAGACAGAGAAGCCCAAACACAAGCAATTCTCTATAGCAGCCTTCTCATCGGAATCATACTCTTTTACAGCCTAGCTAAGATTGTGAGCAGCCAGGCTCAATATTTTTTTCAAATATCAACGGGAATAACTACAGTATTACTTGCCTTTACGTTCCTGCCATGGTTTTTCGAGCTGTATATAGCCTCTGTTCCTATATGGTTGACTGGAGTCGTCCTTTTGCTGGGGGTCATCCTATGGATGGGCATTCCTCCGCTGAGGTCCAAGGCTTCCTGGACGCTGCTTATTTATGTTTATACATACGGGATCAAGTACAGAGTGTACAAGAATCCAGTACTTGGTATTAAATACGACGAGAGAATATTTCTAATTATAACGTGGGCTGCTACTGGTTTGCTGTTGCTGGCACCGTTTCTAAACATCATTCAACGAGGTTGCATCCACACTTTTTACAGGTAAAAAGCTTAGCATCCCTATCTCAACTTGCTTAGCGTGGTAGTAGGAGATTTGAAATAGTATGAAAGTGAGGGGGCGGGGGGTTGTGGGGCTGTTGACATCATTTTTTTCATGGCATGTCGGCCTCGTTTTAACTCGCAGCTGATATAAACAAAAATTCCCAATACCATCTTCTTTAAAAAAATTCAAAACTCTTTGTAAAAAGCCCACTCTTAGTCAAATTTCATAAATACGTGCTTAGAAATAAATAAAAAAATTTCACTGGAAACGCGAATATTATAGATATATATTTAACAGAAACAACCTTTGTATGCGCTCGTCTTTTTCGTCTCTTGAACAGAGACGAGGTTTCTAAACGACCGGTCTGCCCATGCAACCGCTTGCTTCCTAGATAGTCAATACCTTCACAGCGTCGCAACCTTCGGTTATTCCAGTAGCACGCTTTCCTTAACCTAAACACAATTTAAAATTGCTTCATAACAAGTGTTTTTTCAATTTTGCATAGGTGCAAACTCCAGAAGGCATTTTATACGTCTCAGAGTGCTGGTTTTTTTGGATGTGGCGGGATAACATGTGCTGATTTTCTGACAGCAACAGCAGGATTTGTGAAAAGTGAATACGACAAAATTGAAGAGCAAGATAAACAGATCCTGACACTTAGAGATCTAAGGCACATCCAACCGCTCTATGTTTGCAATATGCTGGTCGATAACTGGATCTATGAAGATTCTTCTGATCCGGACGTAGCTTTTACTGTCCTAACAATCAGTCCGGAGCTTATAGAGCGCATTGACGATGACGACTACAAAGATTTCGACGAAAACATGATTGGTCCTTCAGATATCAAGCTTTCAGATGCCATGGCAACATCTGGTGCTGTCGTATCATATCATATGGGTGGATACAAAAACGAGGCAGCTCTTAGCCTCCAAATGATGTTTGGTCTTACGATGGGGAAGTCATGGCTGGCAGATAAGAGGCTTTTGAAGAAGAGCACATGTGGAGTTGTAAGAAAAACAAGATTCTTTTTGTAGCAAATATTTTATCTCCAAATCAAAAGAAACCAATTGAAAATGTTTCTAAAGCTCATGATATATTGTAATAACCAAATGAAAGTGTTGAATTTGATAAGAACAAGTTTCAAGTTTACGTATTGAATGACTTCAAGTGAATCTATAGAAAGTTGTTCATTTCCCGTCTTTTCAAGCATCTTCATGTTGATAAAAATGTCATTTCACGCAAAAACATTGAAAAAGGCAATAAAATCAAAAAATTGTTAATGAAATACAGTAGGTTAACAGCTTGTATCTTGAGATAAATCGTTTGTTCCATATACAAGATGTTTATTATGATCAAGGTGCACAAAATATACGCTACCACTTTTCCTTACTTGGCAAATTCTAATGGAACATTTCCTCTCTAGATCGTGCCATACATCATTCAAATCATTTTGATGGCGCCATTGCTACTTGTGCCTGTGGTCGACCTAAATTGGTACCTGCCTAACATTGCTGGCTATGTGCTTATGGGTATATTCATTGGATTTATGGTGCTTCTTATCATGATTTCAATGTTGCCAACTGGAAAGAGCAGGACCAGCCAACTGGAGATGTTTGTCAGGTAAGGTTTTCCATCATTTCGCAGTATTACTCATATGGAAAATTCATTTTCTGTGTTATGTAATTTGTAGACTATAAAACGTTTAAAGACAGAAAGCTGGACGATGCAGGATTCTGAGAAAGTCAAAGGTATTTCGTTTGGAACAGGCGGTTCGTTTGAGTTTAGTTTCAGTTTCATTTATATTCAAATTCACTCTGCATACAATCTTATAAATAACAATAGCAATAAGTAACAAAACTACAAGGAAATAAAACACCATTACAGAATATTAATGCAATGATATGGAAAATTAATACAATATACGCTAACAAAGAGAAAAACATGATAGATTGTATGGAGGGAATTACTTAAAGGAGTATTTTGCCTTTATCAAAGAAGTATTTTGCATTTGTGTGTACAAGCCAATGTTGATAACTTGCATTGCTTAAGGAAACAAATGCATAATGAAAATAAGAGAAGTTATGATACGAACAAAAAACAAAAGCGACATTGCAAAAGCTCTTGCAATCCAGATCAAGAGAAGATTTTGCAATTCAGAAACATCCTGCTCATTAATCTTCCCTGCCAAATGTTTATAGTAGATCATGATAATTTTTGTGTAAAGGTTTTGTTATAATTTTGTTACTTTGCTGTTGCTTTATACTTTGAACTTCTTTTTAGATGGTGCATTGTGAATATTTATCAAGTACGATTCCTGCGGGAGACTCTGATGATAAACAACATTGGTGAAGTTCCTCCGCCGATTTTGTATCTGAGTGATGGTGGCCATGTTGAAAATCTTGGCGTTCTAGCGCTACTCAAACAGCGAATGAGGAAAATTATAATAGCAGACGGGGGCATGAAATCAAACAACGAGGAAGCCGGGATTGATCTTTTGCACTCGCTAGAAATGGCGAGGAAAAAGTTGCGGTGTTCCTTCAGCGGAGTTGACGGTCGTGACATTCTTGAAGATCTTCGCGATAAATTCGTTGAACCAACATTTGAGAAATACCCACGACATTACAATTTTAAAGTCCAATATTATGAAAAAAACGAGAAAACTGGAGAGACAAAACAAGTCGGCGAGGGAGATATACTGCTGCTAATGCCAAGGCACCCATCTGAAGGCGTTGAAGCAGATGTTGAGAATACCTGGGCTGAATACGAGGCTGATACGGGGGTCACATTGAAAACGAAGAAATGGGGAAAAGGCCCGGTGTTATCTGAAAGAGAGGCAAATAGATTGACAGGAGCGTTTTGCGAATGTTGCCATTTGGCTTGCTGTATGAAATGCTGTGCGCCGTTGTTTGGTCGATTCCCGCAACATAGCACCGCAAATCAGTTTTTCACACCGGCCATGTTCAGTGCTTATCACAGGGAGGGATACAGAGCGACGGTAGAAAGCCAACTGGACGATTTTCTGGGTAGTTAGATGCGCTCAAGGCCTCTCGTTGGGAATTAACTATGAGTGCTCATATTCCAATTCGAGTGTCTTAAGGCACTATAAACTTAGAAATTTGAATTGATTCACTAGTTTATATTGGTGTTATGTGTTTTTGTGGCTCTCACTGGAGTGAAAGGACAATTTTTTAATATTTTAAAAACCGTGGGTATCATTAGGACACATCATTTTTGTAGATCGCTGTGTACTTTATATAACGTGATGAATATCATTCAGGCTCGATAGAATTGTATCATCGATATTGACAAGCAAGCCATGCGCGTAGATGTTGTTAATCGGTTTTATTTGACACTGACAACATATACACGATCTAATATGTAACAATATAAACTCGATCTAAATTTATTTTTGTAATTAGCTGTTTTCAAGACGCTTGCAGTGGTGCTAATGTCTATTAGGAATATGAAATTATGAATTATCAGTTTTAACGTAACTTTAAAAACTGATGTTTATTAATCAGTGCTGAGATATGACCATAAAAATGTTACAAAAACATAAAAAACGCTGCTAAGAACTTATAGGATAATCACCAAAAAGTTAGATTTTTGTAAAAAAATAGAATACATTATTTTGAAGTTTAAATGTATATGCTAATAACTTCCAGAATAATTAGCAAATAATAAGATTTTTGTACAACACGTTCAATGGGTCTGATTCACACGTTTTCCTTGCTGGTAAATGATTTGGTGAAGAGGCAAGTTACCTGACTGTTCAAAAGAGTTTTCAAAATCTTTTAACCCCTAGATCCATTTTCAAATGCAAAATGTAAACAACATCTGCATTAACGACAATATGTTTACCTTTTGTAGCAAGAAAAGTCGACCTAACTGAATCTTTTGCGAAATATTGCAATTTTGATATGGCAGCATTTTCCTTGAAAGGTTATGCCTCAGGGAACCTACAAATAGGTAGCGAAATGACTTATAGGTCATATGTTGGCAATGGCACTTTGTTGGAGTTTCAAAACAAAAAAATCAAATCTTTTCCAAAACATGTGGTTCTTATTGGTATTAACTACCAGTCTTGAAGTTTTGATTTTTTCATAAGCTTTACATACTTTCTGAGGAAGGAAGTCGAGAACTAAGTCCTCATGAACTCTCTGTGACTGAGACAAATAAACATTTTTCTTCTTTTTGCACTCCTGAATGTTCATC